AGTGGCGTATTAGCTCAGCGAGATTAGAGGATGTCTAAGAAGTGTTTGTTCTCGTAGAAGAAGAATTTCTCGTAACAACCACCTTCCGTTTATTCTGCGTCTTCTCTCACCTGCAGATGAAAACCCATGGGCAGCTGACGGCAGCGGGTCGAGTAGAGTTTGGCCATGGTTTACTAGAAACACTGAAAATGTCTTATTCAAGCACACTTACCTATACTACATTCCTCGCTAGTGCAACTCGATGAAAACTTTAGGAAAAACGAGCGGAACGATGGCGAGATATATGGGACGATCGCGTCTGTCGGAATTCTTTGCTAGCCGTTCATCAGCACCTTTACCGCGACCACCTAAAGATGACTAAGGAATCAAAACAATTCCAAGAATTTTTCGTGAAAGAAGACATTCATCTGATTCAGCAGAATTTTCAAGTTAGTACGTCTTCGAAGTTTACTAATGAATCATTGCCACCATCAAAACGACGATCTGTATTTGTTTCCTTATATAATGAACGGTCAACTAAATCATATCTATGCCATTTTTCCAGTGAAATGTGTAGTAATTTAGACCTTGGTCAATTACTGCGCAGATGACAACTTGGCATGTTGCCAAATTTTCAAGAAGCTATGGGCTGAATACCAGAATAGGTTTGAGTTTATTTCCCTTCAACTTTATACGACGTACTCTAGTACTGGCTAGTGACGAGTTGTCTTTTCTGAGTAAGCACTTCGGAGTAATCTTTGGAATAATCTCCACTGTTGGTTTGTAGGTTCCCTCATCCGGCAACGTTGTACGGGATGCTCAACATGGGCAACGCTTACCTTCCCATCAACGAAAATTGGGAACTTTTCTATCGAGTCTGTCTTGTTTATTTCTATTTGCAGTCTATTGTTTTTATTTTATTAGCTGCTCTTTCAGTATAAAGGCAGTGGTAGAACGTAGAACATAAGGAAGGTTTGAAACTCAATTTTAGAAAATACTTGCAAGTTACAATAAGTAGCTATGTGATCGATAGTGCCACACTGCAGATAACTTGTCTCGAAAATAGAAAAGGGATTTTTCGAGGGCCATGTAGGTCATTTTTTCAGAATAATGAAAAAACTTGTGAGGAGACAAAAGAGGCAGGAGCTCGAGCGTTGGTAACTGCTGCTAAGCGGGTGTTGCACGATCTGAAACCTGACATAAATGGCGAGGCACGGATCGACGCTTGGCTTTTCGATGTTGACTGGTCGATAAAGGGTGATCACGAGTTTCCAGAGTAGGTCCCATTTTCTTTTAGTGACTATCCCTTGCGAATTAATTTCCGTAACTGGTTCAGGTGGTACTTCAAGCTATTCTCAAAACGAGGCAATGTTTATCTCGACAAGGAGTCACTGAGTAGTGAAGACGTAACTATGAAAAGCGCCTATGTACCACTAATATTTGGTAAACCTTTCAAAGGAATTCATGCTCTTATGATTAGCGGAAAGCATCTTCCATTTTCGTAATCAGCTTTTTGGCTAGTCGTGACCTAGCCAGGAACTTCTCTTGCGACAATGATGGATAAATCTATACAATGTCTTTGGTACTTCCTTTTGTGAAATACAGTAAAGTAATTTGTGTTCAGGTATGACTTATGGTCCATACCCTCTTCATCGCTCGCGTTATTATGGGTGGGGTTATTTGGTACCGAATGAAAAAGGTACTTTTCTGTTATAATCAGATATTTTCAGCTCTCACAGGTTGGATTTTTTTTTTACTTAGCAGCTTTTTAGGTGCTAAATCTCAAGATGAGAAGTCGACGGGTCCTCGTACTCCAGAGTCAGTTGCTTCACCGTTTTTCTTTAAAATTATAGCCCATATGGCTGCTTGCATAAAAATCTCCTGTTACTATCTGAGACCCGCCCGCAACAATCAATCGAGCTTTCTTCTCAAAAATCCACATCTGTTAGTAGTGCTAGGCATAGGTTTCGTCCACGACATGAAGCTGAGCATCATTTCTAAGTCCAAGGGTTTCAGTACCTTCCCTCGTCCGGGTAAACGCACTAGAGACGATCAGAGTGTTCATATATGGGTGGTGTCTGCCAGCCTATGGGTATTTCCATCTTGGCCCATCCTCATTCAGCTGACCCAACGAATAACGTTTCATTAGGCTGCTTTGACCATATAATCGGAGTTAACATAGAGTACTTACTTAGAGGCTTTTTCTCATTGATTGAGTGCCTCTGGAATGGAGCTATTGAAGTTCTTTCATCGAGAGGTTCATGAGTTCGATCTCGATTCTCCAAAAAAGACTAAATTTTTACAGAAGTTTTTTTCTGTGCGGCCGAGATTTCACTCGATTACCTAGTGTTCTTCAGATAATAGCTCCTCTTGCTTCAGGGAGTATAAACATATTTGTGAAGTGATTGAGAACAATATACAAGAATTTGGTGAGTTGGAACCTGTTGGAAAGGCTCACAACTTCGGCTTCTTTCACTTCTACAGACTGCCCCATCCGGTGTGTCGTTATTCCTTCTATTCAGTCTCTTCGGCTTCAACTCTTGATCATTTTCACAGAGAATTTAATAGTCGTAATTGCAGGCGGGAGCCCAGAATGTTGGCGATCCACTTGGAAAGCATTTTCTACGTTACATTGATTCAAAAATCCTTCGACCAACGAGGCATGTGGACGAGTTCTTCGTTCTTCTCGAAGCTTTGAAGACAACCAAGTTCTGGACAAACTATGCGTGAGTTGTAGCCATTGCATTTCTGTTCGAAAACTGTGTTCTCTTAGCTGCATATTTGTGCCTTGCCACGATGGCGCTCGATTCGCTGCTGTTTCGCGATGACTGGATTGGTTGCTAGTCACTCAGCGGTTGGGTTTCGTCTCCACCCTTACCAGAATAACTCGCTACTCTGTTTTGCTGAGGAGCTCAGCTGAAACAACCATCACCTATCCCAAAAAACTGGAACCCTTGTAGCTGCAGCATAGCAGCCAGGAGGCCAGGCAAAACTGCGGCTTCGAATAGAATAAAAATAGCCTTCCTGTGAAGGAGACGTTGAGTGGGAAAACGGAGCACAGTCAGCGGCGTAGGGTTGTGCTGCTTCACACTTCACTGCCAAAGCTACCTGTACTTTACATAACGGAAAGCAGCCAATTAGTTGAGAATAGTAGCGACCTCAATAGAATGGCTATGAAGAAAGGCTTCGTTTCAGATCGTTATCTATGTCGCACGATTGTCGGTTAGATTAAATCCGTTTTTGTGTCAGTGAAGAAGATATTTTGTATTTTGAAAGAAATGAGGAGTTTAGGAAACGTGTCGAATCGGAAATTCCCGTCTGGTACGAAACAAGTGATGGGGCACGGCTAGGCGCTATTGCTCCAGCAATTGTTCCAGCGGGAACAGTGTCCAGGAGAAGTGTGCACAAATTATGGGTAACGCTCACGAATGAATCGGCAAGTGATTCCACAGATAAGGAACTCTCAAAGCACTTTCTAACAACTATTTTCTGCTCCTTTTTCAGGGTACAGGTCGAATAGGCACGGGAATAAAAAGTCTCATCCAAGCACCCGATGGGTACTTGTTGGTGGGAGCTGATGTCGATTCGCAAGAACAATGGCTTGCTGGTCTTTTTGGAGATGCAAGCCATGCAAGGGCGTTGCGTGAGTCCTCGTTGCCGTGTCATCGTCTTATCCTATGTGGAAGAACTTTCAGCCGAGAATGCTCGTCAACCAGGCCTCACTCCATTCAGTAATATGATGTTGGCTGGTTCAAAGGCCGATGGCACTGATCTGCATACTGTGGTAGCAAATCAGCTCAAAATCGATAGAGGTCAAGCTAAGGTTGGAGGTTATTGCAATTCAGAAAAATACTAGTAGTACTGGTCCTTTGCTCTCAAATCTCACTGCCATTAGAAATTGTATCGGTATTTCCCACCCAGTAGTTTGGAGTGCTTAAATGATGCAGAAGTTATCGTTTTCTACCTAGCCAAATTAAATTCCGAAAATATTGGCCCTTGCAAAGTTAAAATTTAACAGATCTGAAGTTGGACCTGAATCCAGTAAAACAGAAAAAAAAATCAAAAAATCATTTGTTTGGTAACACGATTCTATAATAGATTGTTTCCAAACAAAATTCGAACAGCTATCCCAGCGTTCTTTTGGCATTCAACCAGCTATTTCCAAGCAATCCATGATGGTCAGGTAGAGCGCTCGAAAATCGGCCTCAGTACGCCCCACAAACGCCGCCCACTCGTCTAATCCCACCCTCTCGGTCAAAACATGTGTCTGTTTGAAGTTTGTAGAGAATGGGAAATTCCAGAACCGATGATATAAATCAATACTTTCATTACAAGCACAAAAAACCCTAAATGTGAAAACTTCTAGGCTCTGAACTATTCTCGGATGTATGGTGCTGGAGAAATCAACGCCACAAACACCTTGTCCAAAGCGGGTATGACGATGGCCCAAGCAGCTCAAACAGCAAAAGAACTATTTGCGGTCACCAAAGGAACGGAAAGCAGGCAAATATTTTGGCATCTTTATATTGCTTGATTTAGAGTTTATTGATCTTTCTTCTTTATGAAGAGCGATAAATAATGCACGTTTTGAGAGTTAATCCGATGCATACTGCAATGTAGTGGAAGCAGATGGAAGTTATTCAATTAAATTTGCAGTTGGAAAATGCTTCGTAAAGAGGCGCACCCGCTACTTTTGAAATTCGTAACTAGTCAAAAAGTGGACGAATTGGGCGATTATCTTACGGTCGATGGTCATTTCTATGTACCCAGCTACGACAATCATATGAAGTGGGTTTTGCTCAATTTCACTTACTTATTCGCGATCTTGTGTATTTATAAAAACATTTAGGTCATTTACTATTGAATTTGAAAAGTGGGTAGTTTCATTGGTCCAAAAAGAGAAACCAGATGTTCCTGAAGCAAACATTGTGTGTTCTCTCTACGATGATTACTCTGATATAGCACGGCTTTTCAACGGCGGATAGTGAGTACCAATAAATTTTCAAATTTCTTTTAATAATTTTTTGTTGAAGTAACATAGATAATTAAAAATATTCAGTGAATCAGCCACATTCAACTATTTGGAAATGCAAACCCATCGTGAAGTGCTTCGGACACCAGTGCTGAACTGTCGACTTTCCGATTCGCTTTCAGGTCTTCCGAAAGATACACCAGATAAGAAGTATTTCACGGCGAAGTATAAACGCTCCGTTATGAACTGGGTGAGATATCGGACAGTTCAGTTATTTGTAAATTTACGGTCGGGGTGTGTGTGGAACGTGATGGGTAACCTCTTCCAACGCTTACCCCTAACTGGGAGGCTATTTCCTTCAGCCTGTTCGGTCAGATGGTCCTTCACGCCTTTGTTCTAAAGTGTTGATTTCGCCTAAGGCCTGGTGGATTCTTTTTTTTGCCCATTGTGTTGACGGATTGTAGTGGTAATTTATTAATTCAAATATATTACTTATTTATTTGTAAAAAAGATATAGTAAGGATAATTGTTAAGACATTATTTGAATGATAAACTTCCAGCTGGTTCAATCGTCGGCTGTCGACTTCCTTCATCTTCTATTGCTTTGCATGGAGTGGCTTTGTAAAGAAAACAATATTCGAGCTCGATTCGTTATTTCAATTCATGATGAGGTTTATTTTCCGTTTNTGACATGATCCCATAATGCAACCGCTCAGATGGTCCCGAAATGACTATAACAGGTACGGTATTTATGCCCTGAAGAAGATGCACCACGATTGGCTCTAGCCCTTATGCTGAGTAACATGTATGTACGCTCATTTATTTCAAGCAAATTGGGCATCGAGCAACTGCCATTGGTGAGACTTTCCTATAAGGAGGACCCCTCTATGATTTTGTGATTAAAACCACTCCTTCCAGTCGGTGGCATTTTTCTCCCAAGTCGATTGTGATACAGTATTGCGGAAGGAAGTTCATATACCGTGCTTCAATGCTGATGGTTCCCCGGTACCTGAGGGTATGTTCTACGCATGTGGCAACTCTTATTTCGAATAACTCTCTCTTATACAACTTTTAGGTATAACATATACAATTGAAGACTTGCTAAAAATTACTGGTGGAAGTCTGGCCGCTGACGTGACCTCAAGCAATGAGGATTGTGCAAAAATCAAAGCTTCGTCATAGCTTTTTTTGAGAGGAAATGGTCATTAGGTCTGGTTTAGAGCACATTTAAGCACAACTGTCGTTTTTCATCAATTTGTCTCAAAAAATTACCATTAATAGAAAACTATGTGAGGCCCATCAGAAATGAGAACAAATTATCGTGCCAAGTGCACAGCACGAGAGAAAGAATGCCTAATTGTAAATAACTGTAGTGGTCGTCGTGTCCGTGCCTTATCCATGCCAGCAAAAACCGGACCTAATGTCACGTACCCGGTGACTGGTGGATCTCCGTAATTTTGTACATACACATGTATCCTGCATATATGTACTTGATTTGAATAAATTTTTATATTTCATGAAGGGCAAATTGTTGAAACTCGGTGGACGTTTGTGGAATACGCCAAGCTTCCGATTTACCATTCCGAGTAGAAAAGACATTGGAACTATTCGTAGGTCTGTGTTAGTCTTGGGGTCAATGTTTCGATGCTTTTAGCCAATCCAGCCCCAATGTTCCGATTCCTCAAGACACGGAATGTACCAGGGAGGAACCCATGCCTTCGCGATCAAGCTGTAGTGTTTGAAGATCTATGCTCCCATCCAAACTTGATATAAATTCTAGCCAAAACGTTAACTTTTAGTTCCCCTTTACCGTCCACCACATACAATAATGGCAACTTTCCCTATGACCCAATCAACGTAACCTTTACAATCGGTACATAACTCCTGATATGTTACTATCAGAGGTAAGTTTGGTAACTGTGAGGGGGTAAGGTTCATTTCTTAGGATGAATGCACAGCAGCAGGAGAGTCGACCATCACCATCCGAATCAATTGACGAGCTGCTCGGACCTGGTGAAGCCGAGAAGGTCGAAAAAGTTTCGCTTATGGAGAAGGTAAGTCTTGAGAAGCGTGACTCGATGCAGTACGGTTCAAGAGCGAAGCTTCCTATGAAACATATTGTATGGATTTCTAAGGCAGTGATTCCGTGCCGGAGGCAGCCAAGAAAATGAAGCTGTTATTTCCCTCGTCGTAGATTGGGCGGTCATCGGTCAACAAATGGACATACCCACTTCAACGGCTAGGTTTTCACCTCTGGAAAAGAAAGTAGTCTCATCTGCTCAGCGTCTCCGATCATTCTAAGCCTTGGGATTGCCATATTACTCATTGTAAATGAGTACCGACCAACTATGTACGGAGTCCAATACAAAGTGCACTGGTTACTTGGAGGAAAAGGACCCTTCAAGAACTTCGACCAACCCCAGCGCACTTGTGCGTGAAAATGCGTATTGCTTTCCAGTACTGATTAATCACATTTAGAGATGAGAAGTGATGAAGCGGTCCTATCAATATCATGCCGAGATCATATCAACAGATCATGATTAAAAGTAAATAAGGGATGGATGCGCCCCCGCACTCGGCTTCCATTCAGAATCGTAGTGGCGTAACGAGTGCAGTATGTGGCCTATACAATGACTTGCGGTGGC